CTGTCTGTGTGTGTGTGTGTGTGTCAGTCTGTTTGTCTGTCTCTCTCTCTCTCTCTCTCTCTCTCTCTCTCTCTCTCTCTCTCTCTCTCTCTCCAAATATACAAATCTACACAAATAAAATGTAATAATAAGCACAAGTTGTTAAAACAGTATAAATCAAATAAAAATATGGGAGGAAAACTGTAGGAAAATTGAATTTCTGTTGATGCACCATGCTCTCAAGGGAACAAAAAAGAAACATCATTGTAGGTAGCAGAATCTAGCACATCAGAATTGCTAAGATAGGGAAGGCATAAAAGGCTACTGTACTTAGTAACAATAGCTAATGACTACAGACTGTAAACTTCTTAAAAAGGAAATTGGAAGTGGTACATATGAGGATGTGAAAACCTAGATATTCATTAGATGGCAAAAAAAAAACTTCTGGGCTTTCACAACCCAAACATAACAACTCTAAGCCAGTTAATAATGAACCAGTAACATTGCAAATGAGTTCTATGAATGTTAAATCACAAACTATCAAGCCAAATTTAGCCTAGGCTCAAGTGCCCATGAGCATCAGCTCCTCAGGTATTAGAGCTATATTATACCAAATATTTTTGCTAACCTAATTCAATTAGATGTTAAGTCCCATAGAATTTAATTATTTTAGGATTGCAAGTTAACCATACAAAGATTTTTCTCGTTACCTAATTTTTTATTCTGTAAGGCATCTTGGTCACCTTAAATCACAAAGACAGCCTTAGAACATGTCCACACTTGGAACAGTAACCTTCTACTGAAATGTTAATTTACACTGCAGATCGGAAAGCGTCTGTGTGAAGCAAATCTATCAGTATCCTGATCTGCAGCCCGGTGATGAAGATGCCTTTTCCAGAGAACCTTTTGTTGTTTGGTTCAACTCTCCAAGAACAGGTTAGATATAGCTAATGTCCTTTGCCCTTCCCGTTCAAAGGTTGAAAGTCAGAAGAAATGGGATCCTTGGAGAAGCCTGAAATCTGGAATACCCAGAAATATTCCTGCCCTCTAAAGCCAAGGATTCAACACCAGAGCTCTTCTAAACCAATATCTGTTTTGCAAACCAACAACATTCCCACACAAATAAATAGGTCCTATCTCAAATCCCAAAGAAGGGCCATTTTTTCCAACCTGGTTTTAATAAGGTGTTTAAAAATAGGAATAGGGGTCCTCCAGGAAGCAAATACTCACTCTTGACCAGTGGTGGGATTCAAATAATTTAACAACCGGTTCTCTACCCTAATGACCAGATGGGTAGGCGGGCTTGGTGGTCATGTGACTGGGTGGGTATGGCCAACTCAGGTCAATGGGCGCTTCACCTTAGCTGTTACAATGTAATAAGGGTTAACCAGAGGCAGTTTCTGTAAGCAGGTCAATAAAGATTAGGCTGGAAACAACACCAAAATGTCTCCTTCCTGCCTTTCTTAGTGGACTAGCCCTGTAGAGTGGAAAAAACCAAAAGGAGATTTCTTCCAACAACCAGTTCTCTGAACTGCTTAGAAAGTTAACAACCGGTTCTCCCGAATAGGTGCGAACTGACTGAATCCTACCACTGCTCTTGACCCTGAAAATTGCAGAAGCCACCTCATTTCAGTAGGGTGATCTTGAGGTGTTTGGCAGAAACCAATGGGCATATGTGGAGAGAGGGGATTCCATGCAGCTCAGAGGTCACTGCTTTAATATGGTGTTTGGACCAATCTGGTGGATCTGCTATGGTCACATTATCCCAGCAAGCACAATTGATTTAATAACAAGTTTTTAAAAAGGGGCTGTAAGGTGCCAAAAGAAAGATCAAGATATTTTGTCTGTCTTTACAAAAACATCTCAATTGGTCCATACGGATAAGGCATGTATGCCCTTGCACTTTAGAAGGAAATGCAGGCAATCGTTGATTTACAATTGTAATTGGCAATTATGGTTGAAAGTCGTGACAATCCTCAAGTGGATCATCACATGATCAGATCCAATTTTATGACCTTTCTTGCAGCAGTTGTTAAATGAGCATGGCAATCATTAATTATTATGAGCCACAGTGGCACAGTGGTTATAGAGTGCAGTACTGTGTGCATGCATAGTGTGTACTTCTGCAGTTACTCCTTTGATTGATGTCTGCTTCTGGATTTCAACATGGGATGGTGATTAGATTTTCAGATGTTGTGCCTTACTATATGGAATTAACTTCTTCTTAAATCCTAGTTTAGATTATGGTATCACTTTGTGGTGGAATGTCTTCTGTGCTTTTCAGAATAACGTGGCTACTAAATAGGGCCGGTCGATAACACCCTTATGGTATAATTTTATCCTTTTCCATAGCATCCATATTTGACTTAAATTGGTTGCTATTTAAGAACAATATAACGTAACTTTACCTAAGGTTATTTTGGAGACATCAGAACATGTACCTTTTGCATGTATGAGCCATGGTGGCGCAGTGGTTAGAATGCAGTACTGCACATCACTTCTGCTGATTGCCAGCTACCTGCAATTTGGTAGTTCAAATCTCACCAGGCTCAAGGTTGACTCAGCCTTCCATTCTTCTGAGGTGGGTAAAAGGAGGATCAAAATTGTTGGGGGCAAGATGCTGACTCTGTAAACTGCTTAGAGATGGCTCTAAAGCACAGTAAAGCAGTATATAAGTCTAAGTGCATATTTGCTATTGCACAAACCCAGTGCTTGCTATGGAGTATATAGATTTCCATAGATTTCTGCTGCTCTCCTCTTCTCTGCCTTCTGCACATCTGTGCGTCAGGCACTGGACCCAGCTGTTCCTCCTCTTCCTCATCAGCCACCTCCAGACCTAGGAGCTGTTGATTCTCCATCTGAGGGCTGATGGATGGCCCAGGCTCCGCTTCTGTCTCTGCCTCTGACAGCTCCATTCCCACTTCTCCCTCGGAACTCTCAGATTGCCTTGATGCTGCCTGACTCCCATGCCACCTCCTCATCTGATTCGGCTGCCAGAGGGGCCAGCAGCTGACAGGCCACAGCACTGGGGTTGTTTCTGTTTCCATTTCTAAGATGCCCAGCTGCATGAAGTGGTGCTACTGTATCAGGGAAGGTGGTGTGATAGGGGAAGTACTGGAGCTTTCTCCTGACTCAGGTGGTGGGGAATCATGAATTCCCCCTGCAGAACAGCTGAATGAAATTTATTCACAACAGGCTTGTCTGCTTTCTTTCCTCTTTTACAACCCTACTTGTCCCACCAGCTGCCAGTTTAAAAGCAATCCTTCAGTGTAGAAGGAATGGGACACTGAAATTGGAAAATCAGAAAGAAAGAAATTGGCAGGGCCACAAAAAGTTTGTTTTGTTTTTGCAAATTATCTCTGGGTTCAAGTCCATGAAAATTAAATGCCTGATTCTTCAGTCTATGAGTTTAAAAATGCCAATAATCCATCATTTTTCTTGTCTTTAAAAAATTGTTTGTTAAGAGGTCAAAGAATTTGTGATCATCCCGATACACACAACGCCTGAAATGGCTGTGCGAGAAATCGATGAACTCTATGATGTGTTTCTGGATGTCAAGTCACGCTGGAAGACTAAGGTTAGTCAAGGCCAGCTCCATGGAGTGAGCCAATCTTCTCTCATGTGTGCATTATGTATTTAACAGCTCTAGCTTAATATATGTCTCTCATTTTTAAAAGAATTTCGTATTTATGGGAGACTTCAATGCTGGCTGTGGCTATGTGGCAAAGAAGCAGTGGAAAAATATCCGATTACGAAATCACACTGACTTTGTTTGGATAATTGATGATAAAAATGACACAACTGTGAAATCAACAACACACTGCCCCTATGACAGGTAATGTCTTAGGCTGACTCATTTGTATTCCATTCAGTTCATCTACTAATGCTACCTATTACTAACAGTATGGGGGGGAAAACTGTCCTGTGAGATTGGCAAAGCTCTAGCTGACTCATCACAGGAGATGAAGACAAGATGAAAATAGTGATACTCAAGCTAGCTAACACATATATAAGGCAGGAATAGACAATCTATACTCCCAGATTGCCTGTAGCCCCCAGTTTTGGCCTCCCATTTTCTCTTTGGCTATCAAAAGTGGATAGCATTGTAACCCATCATTTTGAAGCAAGTCATACTAAAAATATATGCACTCTGAAAAGTCTTCATGCAACAAAGAAAACTGTTATACACACACACACACACACATACACACACATACACAAAAACTTTGAAATCCCTGCTTTTTAACCCATGTTCTTCACATCATTGTCCCAACTACTTACTATCGCCCCTCCACCCTACTAGGGCTGCTTTGGATAAGTATCCATCCTTTGTGAGAAGGTTTCACAAGGATCATACTCATTTATGGTAGCCTTTTCCACCAATTGAGTCAGACTAAGATATATGGAGGTCTGGCTGGCTGGTCACAATTCAGCCTTTCCCAATCGGTAGCATGGGTCCTCTCATGGCAGAAGTAAATCTAACTGACAGCAGGTAGGCTCAGAGGTCTAAATGGTGGGATTATTCCAATGCTTCTTCTTGGTCTAATGACAAAAAGGTAGGGTGAGAAAGTTGGACACCAAACAGCTTCTTAGCAAGTTAATCCATCTTGTGATACAGCAAAATGGAGCTAAAGCTGCCAGCTTTGGCTGAAAGAATCTTTCTTTGATTTTCAGATTTTCTTTGATTTTCTGAAAGAAAAATTTGTACCTTCATTAAATCTACTAAGTAGAATAAGCTATCTATATATTGTCTTCCTTGATCTTTCTTTGGAACGTGGATCTATGACATAAAAGATATCTGTCCCCTGGATCAGGTTACATAGCAGAGGGTATTTCCAACTGGTTGCATAACAGAGGGGATTTCATCTGTCTTCAGTGAACTTTTGATAGCTCACTCACAAGTATTTCAGAGCTCTTGGATCTGTCTAGAACAGACAGCAAGTTTCCTAGAACATGATTCACCAGTCAGTTCTATTGCTCCTCCCAAACCTCATCCCTCAATCAATTTTAAATAACCCTCTTTGACTTCCTGTCTCTATCTCATAGCAATTGTTATGTGAAACTGTAAAAACTGTTTCACAGCTAATTATCAGGGTATCCTCCTGACAGTGAGAACAATCAACCAATGGGACAGTTTGCCTTCGGAAGTTGTGAGGGCTTCATCACTGGAGACATTCAAGAAGAGATTGGACTGCCATTTGTCAGAAATGGTGTAAGGTCTCCTACTTCAGTGGGGAGTTGGAGTAGATGACCTATAAGGTCCCTTCCAATTCTGTTAATTTGAGGCAAATTCTCTCCAGCCTTTTTCTGAAGTTCTCTAATGAAGGGGAAAATATCACTTCATGAAGCAACCTGTTCCGCTGGTTGACAGTTCTTATTCTATCCCTCTTTAATCTACTCTTCTGTTGTATAAACATACTCAGTTTCTTTAACCTTTTCAAAGAATTTGGTTTCCAGTTCCCTCACCTTCTTGATAGGCTTTCTTTCAACGTGTTCCACTTTGTTTATGTCTGATTACCCATGCTTGTCCCAGCATTCAAAGTGGGGTGTGACCAAGGTAGAGTAAAGTGGAGCAATTATATCCCATGATTTGAACTCCATACTTCTATTAATATATCCCAGGATAACATTTGCTTTTTTAGTAACTGCATCATGTTGTTGACTCACATAGATCAACTTGGGATACCAAAACACATGTACTATTTTTCACATGTATAACTGCCAAGCCTGGTTACTTCTGTGCTTTGTGTTTTTCAAGGTTTTTTTTTTCTTCAGATAAAAGACATAGTATTTTTTCTGTTCAATTTCATCTTGTTTATTTCAGGTTTTTTTTGAAGCCCATCCAGGTCTTTCTGGATTTTCTCTTTCTCATCTAAAGTATTAGTCATTTCAAACGGTTGCATTCTTGCCCACGGCTCTAATTAATTGATCTGTAATTTCCCAGGTCCTCCTTCCTTGTTTTGAAGAGAAGAGGTATACTTGTTCTTCTGCTCCTCCAGTTTTGCGGACTTCGCCAGCTTCTTAATAATTAAGGCAGCGTACCTTTATCTCTGGTCAAATATGGTCTTAGATAACAGATCTGGAGGGAATCCCCTCTACCAGATTCATGTTTAGCCCTTTGACTCTGGACAGCTAATTGTTGTTGTTAGTTGCAAAGTTGTGTCTGACCCCATTGCGACCCCATGGGCAACATTCCTCCAGGCCTTCCTGTCCTCTACCATCCTCTGGAATCCATTCAAGATTACGTGACTCAATTCAGCCGCTTTATTCTCTATTGTCCCGTTGTTCTTTTGCCCACAATCTTTCCCAGCATTAGGCTCTTCTCCAGTGAGTCCTTCCTTCTCATTAGGTGGCCAAAGTATTTAAGTTTCATCTTCAAGATTTGGCCTTCTAAAGAGCAGTCAAGGTTGAGCCGAGGTGGCGCAGTGGGTAGAGTGCAGTACTGCAGGCCACTTCAGCTGACTGCTAGTTCAGCAGTTCAGCGGTTCAAATCTCACTGGCTC